TGCCACTCAGGAACCATCGGTCTGGCTGCTGTCTCTGTAAGACTGCTCATTCTGAATTTCTTGTATAGATCAACATCAAATAAATAAATAAAAGATTAAAACAACAACAACAGACAGACAGACACCAGACTCACAGGGATCAAGACACAGAGCCGCATTCATGTCCAAAATGCGAGTCTCCCGTAAGTCCACATTGTTATTCCTGCAGTCTGTGATGGAGCAGTCTTGTGCCCACCCCACCCCCCATTTATGCCTTAGACTTTCAGCATGGCCCCCTTGTGAGTAACCACGAACCAGTTCAGGTGGGGTGCAGGTGCTGCCCATTGATTCAGATGTCTACCATTATTCCTCGTGGACTCCATGGCTGCACTGCCATCATTGGTCTGTTGCACTTCCCTCTTCATTTGCCCCAATGTGGGTAGGTAAGACCAGTCGTTTTCCCAAAATTGTATCTTCAGGGCTGTCCACTGCAATGATGTCATCTAGGGAGAATCTCTAGCTAAGGCTGGCCCTGTGGTCATCTCTGGGAAGGAGCTGCTTTGCTCAGGAACATTGCCCTCATTAATGGCACGCCAGAATGAGGTCTAGTCTCACTCTCCTTTCCTATGGAGATATAAACAATACACCACCACCCCTTGGGTTGGTTAGTATCCTGACACCCCATTGCAACAGGTGCTATCTGCATCTGTTGTTGATGGCGGATGAATCCTTGGGTCTGGCTCTTGCCAGGATATCTGGTCCTCAGCCCAGGAATCATGTGTTGCACTTGTTTCCCCTTATGCCCATTCTGCTGTTTGACCTTATCTCAGTGGACTCATGTTGTACTTGATCTCTTGTGCTTGGCTGACTTCATTCACCACAATATGCTCCAACTCTTTCCCCCAGATGAGATGTTTCATCATTTCACCACTATTTTTAGGGATACGTAGTATTCCATTGTGTGTATGTACCATAATTTTTTAGTCCATTCATATACTAATGGAAATTTAGGCTATTTCCAATCGCAGTGATGAGCACTAAAGAGCATATGTCTGGTCATGGTCTGTTTCTTATTTCTTCTGGGTATATGCCCGGTAATGGGATTGTTAGGTTGTATTGTAATTCCACTTCTGTCTCTTTTAGGTTTTGCCAAATCACTTTCCACAATGGATGTACATACCTACAAGACCACCATCAGTGAATGAGAGTTCCTACCTCACCACAACCCCTCCAACATTTGTTGCATTCTGTTTGTTTGTTTGTTTTTTAATTGGGCTAACTTTGTGGGTGTAAGATGGTATCTCATCATTGTTTTGGTTTGCATTTCCTGGATGGCTAATGATCAGGAACATTTTCTCATATGTTTATTGACCATTCAGGGTTCTTCTTTTGTGAATTGTCTGTTGAAGTCTTTTGCCAACATACTCAGTGGGCTATTCATATTTTTCTTGTTGTAAGCTTGCAGGATTCTGTAGATTTTAGTAATAAGTCCTTTTTCCAATGTCATTACTAAATCTTTTCCCAGTCTGTGGCTTCTCTTATTACTCTCTTGATGAAGTCTTTCGATGTATACAAGTGTTTTATCATTAGCATGTCCCACTCATCTGTTTTATCTTCTACTGGCTGTGTGTCCTTCCTAATTTCTGCTA